AATAAGGGATATCATCGCTGATGTCTGATGGATCTTGGCTGAAAGCAGAGAATACCAGAAAGATGTTTACCTGTGCTTTATTGACTATGCAAAGGCTTTTGATTGTGTGGATCATGAAAAACTATGGACAACATTGTGAAGTATGAATATTCCGGAACACTTAATTGTACGCATGAGGAATCCGTACCTGGACCAAGAAGCAATTGTTGGAACGGAACATGGGAACACTGAATGATTTAAAATTAAGAAAGGTGTGCGACAAAGTTGTATTCTTTTACCATACTTATTCAACCTGTATGCTGAGCAAATAATCTGAGAAGCTGGGTTATATGAAGAAAAACATGGCATCAGGATTGGAGGAAGACTCGTTAACAACCTGGGATATGCAGATGATACAACCTTGCTTGCTGAAAGTGAAGAGAACTTAAAATACTTACTGATGAAGATCAAAGAGCACAGCCTTTAGTATGGATTGCATCTCAATGTAAAGAAAACAAGAATCCTCACCACTGGACCAATAAACAACATTCTTATCAATGGAGAAAAGATTGAAGTTATCAAGGACTTCATACTTCTTGGATCAACTATCAACACTCGTGGAAGCAGCAGTCAAGAGATCAGACGACGTATTGCATTGGGAAAATCTTCTGCACAAGACCTTTTTAAAGTGTTGAAAAGCAAAGATGTCAGCTTGAGGATTGAGGTACGTCTGACCCAAGCCATGGTATTTTCAATAACCTCATATGCATGCGAAAGCTGGAGAGTGAATAAGGAAGACCATAGAAGAATTGATGCATTTGAGTTATGGTGTTGGAGGAGAATACTGAAAGTGCCATGGGCTGCCAAAAGAACCAACAGATCTGTGTTGGAAAAAGTACAGCCAGAGTGCTCCTTGGAGGCCAGGATGGCCAAACTTCGACTTTCATATTCACACCAGTCACTGGAGAAGAATTTCATGTTTGGTAAGGTGGAGGGTCGAAGAAGGAGAGAAAGACCCCCAGTAAGATGGACTGGCAAAGTGGCAGCATTAATGGGTTTAAGCACGGCAACAATCATGAGGTTGGCCCAGGGCCAGGCAGTGTTTTGTTATGTTGTGCATACGGTCGCTATGAGTCGGTATTGACTCGATGCCACCTAATAACAACAGATGTGTTTAATAAAAAGAGATGGGGATAAGATTCTGGTGATTCAATAGTGAGTAACTGTTATGACTAATTGCGACCATCACAATTGTAAAAGTAGAAGTTTTGTAACAAAAATGGGGAGTAGTTAATCTTACAGACCAGAAACAGAGGATCCTAGGACCATCAAGGGAGAAGAGCACAAGCGGAATGCGAGACCTTATCCAGAGAAGCAGCGATACCAGATATGGAGACAGAGATGGGGACATGGTGAGAAGGAGCAGCTGAGGACTCTAGACTCATGGAATTAGAGGGACTGAGTGCTGGAAGCCAGGAGGCAGCCATGCAGAATGTGCCCTTTGGGTGGTTTAAATTATTATATAAGCCTGAGTGTTTGGGGGGGGAAAAAAAAAGAGCTAAAATGAATAGAGAGAAATATTGTTAATTGATGGTACATGGGGGGGGATTATAATCACTATAATGAAACAAAATGTATGATTTGTTGAATTTAAAACTGATTATCTGTCCTGTAAACTTTCACTCAATTTACAATAAAAACTTAAAAACAAACAAACAAAACTATTTTATAGAAGAGAAGTGGCTTATTCTCTGTAAAGCAGGGCAGAAACAGAGTTAGGGTGATGAGCTTTGCCCTTTGAGGAGGTACTTGCTGAGATCCACTCTTGTCTACTTCAAGGTCTCAATCCCAATCCCAATCCCAATCTTGTCCCTCAGTCAAGGGTTGCATGGAATCTTCCGCCTCCAGTAAGTAATCTCTTGTCACCAACACTACCAGGCTTGTTCCATTTCTGGCACTGGTGCAGCATTTTGGGATGATCTTCTCAATCACGTACTACTGATGGCTATTTGTCCATCCACCCACCCATCACTGATCCACCAGCCACGGGTCCCTGCAATGTGCCTCGTCCTGTGCCAGCCTAACTAGGTTGCCAGCTAACTATGGTGGCGGTACCATTGCAACCTATAGCTGAGAGGAGAGAAAAGACCCAGACAGAAAGAATGAAGACATGAGCAAACATGATCAATATCACAAGATGGGGCAGGAAAAGTCAGTGGGAACCCAGGAGTGTAGAGAGGCACTCTGGGGTAGAGGAGCCAGGAAAGATTCCTGGGGGAGGTGGCATTTAATCTTCAAGTCTGGGGCAAAGAAAAGAAGAGGGGTGTGCAGGACAGTGGAGTTTGTGCGTCAAGGCAGGGAGACAAGAAAGTGATCCAGTCTGGTGGGTATGTGCTCTATGTCAAATCCCTGAGTTTAACACTATGGGCAGTAAAAAGAATATAACCCAGGTCTTGCCCTCAAGGAGCTCACAGTCTAGATGGGGAAGAAACCAGGCCCAGAGAGGTGTGTATGCCATAAAAGAGGGGAGCCTGTGGAGTCCCCCTGATTGAGACTGGGAAGTTAGGAAGGGCTTTCTGGAGAAGGTGATGTTGAGTGGGCACTGAAGAACGTATAGCAATTTACCAGGGAGAGAAGTCAGGGATGAACATTCCAGGCAGAATGTTCTGCATTCCCAACATCTCTGCATTCCCTACTCCTGTCTTTCCCAAGCCAGTGGGCACATGCTTTGCTCTATGATAATGTAAACATTGCTTCTACCAGAAGGCTCTTGGGCTCAGGTGTTGCCATGCATGGTTCTCACCAAAAGGGGGTGCTCACACATGGGCGAGAGAAGAGTACTAGGTGGGCACTGTGCAACCCCTAGCGTTCCAGCTTGTCCAGTCCAAGGTCTCTGCTCTGAGGAGGAGATGCAGTCGGGCCTCCTGAAGTTGGGGTGGGCAACATCAAGAAGACACACAGATACAAGGGTCTAGGTACAAGTACTTTATTCAATTACAATAGTGCCACACCCAAACTACAGTAGCACAAAACATAATAATACAAAAAATAGATTCCCAGCTGTAAGCCCCACGTCTATATACCTGCAGAGAAGCCCACCCTCTGACTCCTGGGGTCTAAGGGAAGGGTTTTCTGAGGGCATTTCACCTCAGCCTTCTTCAAAGCTCTGGAGGGGGTAGTGGTATTGGGGCGGGGGCGGGTTTTATGTCCATTCCTACCGGGGCTGAGCCCTCTCCTCTCCACGCTCCCGTATACCCTGCACAATGAGTGCAGTCCTACACGGTCTCTGGAGGGACCCCAGGGTATTTGTTTCCAGCTGGATGTCTGTGACCGTTGAGGGGAAGGCAGGAAGGTGTGGTAGGCACAGGGAATACCAGGCTGGGGAAGGACCTGCTTCACACGAAGAGCTGCATGCAGTAGGCTCCCAGCTCCTTCTTTGGCTCCTGTCCTATCCTTCCTCTGAGAAGTCCCTGGGCTGTCCCTTGTTTGGGGGGGGGGGAACATAGGGCTCCTCCAGAGCCCCAACTCTGAGCTGTCTGCTCCTCTGAAGTGAGGAGCTTCCTGGGTGAGCGGAGTGTCCTGTGGGTGGAGAAGTGTGGCAAGGTAGTCTGGGCTTCCAGAAGATGGGGGAGCCGTGGACTACTCACCGCTCCGGCCTGGGTCCCAGGTGTTTCTCCAGAGGACCAGGGCGGTGGGGACAGTTGTTCCGCCTGGGGGGATACCTCGCGCCAGTTGTGGGGAGCTGTGGCCTGAGGGGAGGACATTCCTGGTCTCCTGATGCCAAAGGCCAGACAGGGACAGAGGAGCTTCCTCCCCATAGCCTTCCATGGCTAAAAGTGTCCCCCAAATGAGAGTCCATCCAGCGACAAGCATTGTCTGGACTCAGGCCAGGGAGCCCAGGGTGGGATAGAGCCCAGGGTGGGATGGAGCCCAGGGTAAGCTTAGTGCTTCCTCAGCCTCCTGGCCTCCAGGGCTGCGGCTAACCCGCAGGCCAGAGCTTCTAGGCTGCTGTGAGGCGGTAACTCTGCAGGCATGGGGAGTAGAGGGTATGGCCTTGTGTTTCATCAGGACACTTGGGGGCTTCACGAGGGGGTCCCAGGGCCTCTGAGGGGAGAGGCCCAGGAACCACAGCCTCAGATAAGGCACTAAGAGAGGAGGATGGGGCTGGCTGCAGTCCTGGTAGCCAGGACCAAGGCCAGAGCTCCAAGGGAGGGTTTGGGCCCTGTGGGAGAGGAGGATCATTTTCTCGTTTCCTTTCCCCGTCAATGCAAACCCAAGGTAGATTGCGGAGGACATCTCTGACCCAGCAGTGACCCTGTCATGCCTGCTGCCACTGGATTCTGGGGACAGAGGCAGGCAGGCTGAGGGGTAGTGCCAATGTGCTGGCTTCCTCCTCTGCCCTCTCCTCAAGTATCCAAGGCTGAGGCAGTACTCTGCTTTGGGGAGCTGTTCAGGGGACCCAGGCAGGGATGAAGGCCTCAGGCCAGTTTCTCTGAGTGAGGGCGGGGGAGTGGTCAGTGGTGCTTCTCTTGACCACAGGCTATTCAGAAAATAGTACATAATAAATATAATCCTTTCCTTAAAAAACAAAACAAAAAAAAAAAACGTGTTTTAAATGCTTTTTTTCCCCCTGAAGAGTTCCAGTGTATTCCACAATGATTAAAAAAGAGTTTCCCCAAAAATATATCTTTAAAGCATTTGACACAGTGGTGTAATGGCATATCTGGTGTTGGATGTGGGCTGGGGCTGTACCACTGCCCTTGGCTGGGGATTCAGGTCTGGGGACAAGCAGTCTGACCCCTCAAATGCCCATCAGAGTTGAGGCAAGTGTGTGCCTGGGGGCAGGGTTTTCCACGGGGATCAAATCTTGGGTTAAAGTTGAGGACCATATTACAGGCTTGGTTCTGGCTGCAAACCCTCTGGTTCAGGGAAGGGATGCCCCAGGTGGCCGAGGGGCCTGGTGGTGCCCCAGACCATGATGTTGCGGGCAGATGCACTGACTTCCTGATTCCTCCCTGCAGCTCAGCCTCTGGCTCTTCCCCTTCTCCTTCTTGGTTCTTGGCACTTCGCCCCTTACCAGACTTCACATTTGTGGTGAGGGTTCATAGGTGAGCCAGGTGGGCACTGGAAATGTTCTGAGAACTCCTTGGAGTTGGAGACAGAGCCAATGACCCGGAAGCGGGAAGGACTGTGTGGGTCTGTGATGAGGCCTTCATGGGAACTCTCAGGGGTGCGGACAGAGCACCAGACCTTCATGAAGAGCAACAGGGAGAGGTCGGGGTCACTGCGAGGCACCCAAACTGTCAGCCTAGCCCCTCCATGAGAGCAGGAGAAAGAGCCCCCTCCCTTCCTGGTTCTCAGGTCTCAGGGAGTCAGGAGGATCTGCTATGTGGATGAAGAAGAGACCTCCTCCTCAATCCCGGCAACCTCTAACGCAATTCTTTCCAAATTGTCCCTTCGGTCAGAGTAGCATCTCTGTCCACTTAAAACCAAACCCAAGCCTGTTGCTAGGGTCGATTATGCAAAAACATTTGGAAACCACTGGCTTGAGTCACGATGCCTCACCTCCAGGTAGAACAAACTGTTTAATGGCCTGATAGCTCTAGGGGTCAACAAAATGCCAACTCAAGGGACAGCCTGGGGCATCTGGAGTTTATGAAATTTCTAAAACCTTGGAAGGGACCTTAGTGGCTATCATCTACCTAGTACAGGAATTGTTCCATTAGCAGCCTTCCTGGAGGCTGGCTTTCTTTTACAGGAACTGTGTCCTGTGGGCAGTCCAGTGACTCAAGAAGGTCTCTATTTGAGGAAACACTTGCCTTTGGACTCTCGGAGGTTCCACAATATCAAGATGGCAGAATCTGCCCAAGTTTGACATTTCTTTCCATTGAACTCACCTGTGCAAACCCCAGGAAGAAGAGCTGGTTATTGGTGAGCCCCAGAGTGGGCAAGGTCTGCTCAGCCCCATTCTTCTTCACCCAGTTCTGGTAAGCCTGGGAGGATAAAAATAAAAAAGCTCAGGGAACCAGTAAGCAGGAACAAGTAGGGCCAGAATGGAGAGGGGCTTGAGTGGGATATCTCGGGCAGCTCCACTCTGTGGGGGCAGGGCCTGGTTCCTGGCGTGTGAGTCTCAGCTCAGCTCAGAGGAGCCTTCTTCATGATCTGGACTCCTTCCAAGGAAGGCTGTACTCAACCCTATTGTTTTAAGTACCATCTGATGGCAGGAGGCTTTCAAGTTTATCCCTTTAGCTCCAGACTCTTCGGTGACTTTTATATTCAACTGCTCCTCGTTCAACTGCATCTCATACTCAACATGGCCCAAATACAATGACAGACACACACATACACACTTTCCATCATAGTAAACGTTACCACCATCTACCCTGATGCTCAAGCCCAAATCCCAGGATTCTTTGCTCCTTCTCTCTCAATCAGCCCAAACATTCCAAATCTGACCACTTCCTACCCATCTCTTTTGCCTGGACAACCTCAACAGCTTTCTCACGAGTCTCCCAAACTCAGATTAGTCCAATTCCAGTCCTCTTCCCCACAGCTACTTAGTGATCCTTATAAAGCAGGGGTTGGTACCTCTTTCTGTACAGGACCAGACAGTAAATGTTTTCAGCTTTGTAAGCATATGTTTGGTTGCTCTCTGCTGCAACCATGCAGTTCTTCCCCTACAGCACCAATGTAGCCACAGACCATATGCAAACCAACAGGCATGGCTGCATACTGGAACACCAGACAAAAGACCCTACAGTGACTCCCTATTGCATCCAGAATAAAACAAGCCCCCTACTCATCCTACAGCTAAAGCAAACAGATGAATTGAAGAGGTCCAAGAGCTGAACAGAAAATTTCAAAGATCAGCCCGAGAAGATAAAACCAGGTACTATAATAAAATATGCAGATTTGAAACTAGAAAATCAAAAGGGAAGAACACAGTCAGCATTTCTCAAGCTGGGGAACTGAAGAAAAAATTCAAGCCTCGACTTTTGTTATTGAAAGATTCTCTGGGCAAATTATTGAATGATGCAGAAT